ATTTATTTATTTTGAGAGAGAGAGAGAGAGAGAGAGAGAAAGTGGGGGAGGCGCAGAGAGAGGGAGACAGAGGATCCCAAACAGGCTCCACGCTGTCAGCGCAGAGCCTGATGTGGGACTCAATCTCACAAACTGCAAGATCATGACCTGAGCTGAAACCAAGAGTCAGACACTTAACCAACTGAGCCACCCAGGTGCCCCTAGGAGGTGGGCTTTACAGTGCACACGCACCCTACACAGCACCTGCCACCAGGGCCCTGATGATGCAGCTGACAAGGAAGCACAGACAGAAAGTGTGGGCAGACCACCCAGGAGACCACCCTTGGGGAGGGCACAGTCTGAGTTAGGGAATCGGGGAAAGCGAATGGGTAGGTTTCTGAGGGGGTGACTGACAATGCGGAACCATAGCGAGCATTTGTTTGTGCCTGAGACACCACTCCTCCTTAAGGCCCACTGTCCCCTGCTTGTAAAGTAGTGTCATAGTCAGAGTCTGGCTCCTCCTTCACCTGCACTGCATGGGGTGTCCTGGGCAGGTCCCCACCTCTCTGAGCCCACGTCGCTCATTTAGAAATGCAGACCTACCATGCAAGGCTCCATGAGGATGTCCTAAAAAAGAGTGAGGAAAACACCTAGTGAAAAAAAGCACCTGAGAGGTAGCAGATCGTCAATAAAGTGTAGCTGGTTGTTACTTTTGATAAACATAGAAGCCACTGGCCCCAGAAAGTGATTCTCAATCGTTAATAACACCCAAAACTTCCAAATGTTGGCCAAATCAGTGACAGCCAGAAGCACATCTTCTAACCCCGCTGTGGCCTTCAGTGCTCACATACAAGCTCAGGACCAAAAAAGGAAGTAAACACCAGACCAGAATCCAACTTGGTTAGCTACAGCTTTATGAAAACAACATAAATCCCAATGTTAATTCTGCCATCTACACTTCCCTTTAACAAAGTCTTTTGGGCTTTGATTTTCTTGGAGATTTGTGTTGCTGACAAATTCTATGAAATGTAAAAGGAAAGAACTTCAAGTCTCTGTGATGAAAGGAAGAAAGAAAGAAAGAAAGAAAGAAGAAAGAAAAGAAGGAAAGAAGAAAGAATGGAAAGAGGAAGGAAAGAAGGAAGGAAGGAGGAAAGAAAGAAAGAAAGAAAGAAAGAAAGAAAGAAAGAAA